CATTAAGCTTCAATTAAAAAGTTGGCGGATAAATGTGATGCGAGACTACAATCATATTAATTGTTTCGCATGTTCATTGCATTTTATAGAAATTATTCTGTTTTTAAAAAAAAAAATTAAATAAATAAAATTCATGTTTTCAATTAGTGATTTTGATATTAGTATGGATTAATAGCAACTAAACATGTTTTACCATTATTAAACAAAATACGTTTTATTCAGTATTATTCCCGTATTATTTCCAGGTTATTTCAATATTATATTTATACTAATACTAGTACGGGAATACGGAAATTGCATATTCCCAGTACTTTCCATACTAATACTAATACTAATATGTGTTTTTTATTATCTAAAATTCCATGATTTCCATATGGTTTATTCTGTATCTTTTCTGTATTTTGTTTTTTATAGTAATAGAAAGCTGAGTCAAAGGGAGTTTAAGCGAAATTAGCTAATCGTTGGTTAGCTTCTCATTGAGATAGATCAATAAAAAAAATTTTTAAATTGATTATTTTATTTGTATTACTATAATAATAGTTTGAATATGCTCGCATAGTAATAGCGTGTGTACCCATTCGTTATCTGGCCGACAGGGGACGTCGTGGCCGAATATAAAATGTTGAGCAAGTTCTTTAAACCAAATGGTCTGGTGGAAATGTCTCTATGTTGTTGTTGGTGTTGTGAAAAAAATGTGGGAATGGCTATCCATTTATATATTTCGAATTTAATAAAATAGACTATAGTCTTGACCCAAATGATGTGATTTTTTGTTCATTACAACAAAGATGCAATCCAAACTCAACTTAATAAATTTTTGATCTCGAGTGGTGCAGCATACGTGATATTGTGTAAATTCGTAAAAAGCAAAAGGCCCAATTTGCGTTCTAATAAGAATAATGTTTTATGAAAAAAATTTTTTGGGTGCAAAGCACAAACTAACGGAAATTATCGTTGATAACTTACTTTTTTATTATTATGGAAAGAATTTCAAAAGTTTACAGTACAAAATTTTTCCTTAGTATTAAGCTATAAAAGTGTATTAGTATGGTTTATATTTTTTTTTTAGATAAAATTTTGTTGTATAAACTACAAAGCCAAATGATCATTTTGATGTTTATAAATGATAAAAATTTTTGTTTTTGGTTACTAGCACAATCGATTTAAAACTGGTTCCATTTTTCATATTATTATCTAAAATTCTGTATTTTCCATACTAATACGGTTTATTTCATATCTTTCTGTATTTTATTTTTTATAGTAATAGGAGCTGAGTCAAAAGGGGTTTTAAGTGAAATTGGCTAATCGTTGGTTAGTTTCTCATTGAGATCAATAAAAAAAATTTTAAATTGATTGACTTGATTTATTTTATTTTGTATCGCTATAATAATAGTTTGGATATACTCACATAGCGTATATACTTATTCGTTATCTTAGCTTCCTGAAGGACAGAGACGTCGTGAACGAATATAGAGGTTGAGTAAGTTCTTTACACCAAATGGCCCGAGAGAAATATCACTCACTACGTTGTTGGCGGTACGAAAAAAATGTGGGAATGACCGTACATTTATATGTTTCGAATTTAATAAAATAGACAATAGTCCTTAATATTTTCGTGAAACTTCAGGAGGTATAAAAGATCTTTACTTCTTGAGAGCATAGTGGAAGTTTGTTATTACACGAAACGTTATATAGAACCCATTGCACCTAAAACTTCACCAGTGTATAGTTGTTACCTCTCTAAATTGGAGATCAAGTTCAGATTCAATTCAAATCCAATTTATCACTTACTTTTTATTGCCAGAATGTTTGCCGTTTATTGTAAAGTTACATTGCACAATATAAAAAATTAATGTAACATTTCAAATTTCCACTATGCTCTTCTTGAGTGATAAAAAAAAGGATGAGTAATAATAAGTAGCAATAAGATCGAATAGTATCAACAAGTATATTAGGATAGTTATAATGAATTAATTAGAAGAATTATGGATTAGTGATTGTAATCATAGTTATTAATATTATTGAAAACATAATATTGAATTAATTGAGAATTGATAAATTAATTATACATAAATCAATCTTATATGTAAACGTAATTCTTAAATATAATTTTCTTCGGATAATATTATGGGTGATGAATTTGCGGATGATTTTTGCGGAAAAATACGCGATTATATCGAAAATTCAAGCCAAAATATGTCACTCACTGAAAAAAAAACTAACATGTAAACCTTTGTGGATTAAAGTAGACATTAAACTGCGTATTTATGTGAGCTTGTTGATATTATAAAATATGGTACTAT